AGCTTCTTATTGTTTAACTCTTACATCTTAATTTAACTCATTTCTATCAACCTGTGTATCGCCACATGGCTGTGGCTTATCAGGTAAAATTCCCAACTTGTCTCTGGTGGCTTCGTGGCATCTCTTCAACTCCACCCTTCTTTCTCCCAGCATTCAGTCCAGTCCTCCCCACCTACCTAAGTTCTGTCCTATCAACAGGCCAAGGCAGTTTCTTTATTCATTAATGGTAATCACAGCACACAGAGGGGACTCCCTCATCACAGCTGTACTCACATGCACATTCCCACGTGCATAAACCTCATGAAGCTGACATTTAAAATTGGTCATCAGATCCTGTTTCAAAAAAGTTGATAGTATCAAGAACTGATATGTGTTGACATATGTTCATGAACTTTGAAAAGCAAAAGGAAGATGTCAGCAAAGCCAAGGTTTGGACAAAGATTTGCTTGACATGGGTACAGATGAGGTAAAGGAGGGCCAAGTGCACTGTTTCCAGTAAGAAAAGCACGCTGTGACAAAGTCAGGCTGGAGTCTTCTCTGGTGCGGCACATGACTGCTGCTCTTATACTGCATTCCCTTTGTGTCTGTTAAACCCTGCTGGGTTGGCTTATTTAAAAATCAAATGGAAATGCGAACCACTAGCATGTACTATATTTCCCAGGAAAATGTTCTCTCAACTCAGAGAACAGCATGCCAAATTGTGTTGCTCATGTCGATAGGCACTAGCTTAATGATGACATTGTCATTATTTGGGAGATCATGCCATTCAGTGCTGAGTCACCCTATGACTGAACCTAGGTTCCGCTTCTGAAACTCTTCATTAATAAGTAAATGAAGGATGGTTTTGAACTAAAATGATTCCATCCCAATACTACTCTGTCCTAATTTCTTTCCTGTTGCTATGATAAAATATCCAATGAAGCAACTTAAGGGAGAAAGGGTTTATTCCAAAAGTTCGAGATACGGCCCATCATGGCAGCAGTGAAGGCAGCAGGAGCTTGAAGCAGCTGGTCACTGTTGTTTACACTCAGGAAGAAGAAACCAATGAATACTTGGTCTCAGCTCACTTTCTCCTTTTAACTGTTCATGCTCTGAGCATAGGAAATGGTGCCGCCCAGAGTGGGCAGGTCTCTCCACCTCAGTTAACTTAATAAGACAACCCCCCCACAGACACACGTGAGGCTATTTTCCAGGTGACTGATTCTAATCTTTTGAGGTGACAGCTGAGATCAGCCATCCCATGCCCTCATCCCACATATCTGTGTTAAGATGGTGACAATGATCATAAAGGAGTCTCTTTTCCTAGTAAAAAATACAGCTGGAAAAGTTACTCTGAAGTTGTGCTCAAAAGAAAAATAAAGCTATTATGTCCTTTATCATCAGGATCGTAGTCCCTGGTAAGGTGCACAAGTGTCTGTATACAAATGCCACCCATACTCCTGTAAACAACCCTAATAAACCTCCATAGGCACCTCTCTCTCTCTCTCTCTCTCTCTCTCTCTCTCTCTCTCTCTCTCTCTCTCTCTCTCTCTCAATACAGAAAAGTAGAAAGGAGACTAATTTGGAGAAGTAGAAGTGAACATGATAAAATTACACTACATACATATATGAAAATGTCATAGTGAAATTCCTTGTTACTTTAATTAATATGTACTAATAAAAACATTCAAAACGCTTTTAAAAAACTTCTGTGAAGGTTGGAGAGGTTGCTCAATCAGTTAAGAATGTTTCCTGCTTTTCCCAAGGACCCAAGTTCAGATCCCAGCATCAAGTGGTTCACAATGACCTGTAACTCTAGCTCCAGAGTATCCAGCGCCCTTTTCTGCCCACCATGGATACCTGAACACACAAACAGAAAGTTGGAGAAGGTGTTATTGAATAAGAAGGCCGTACTCCAGCCCCAGCAGCAGCAGCAGTACTTGCCAGCTTTGGCCACATGGTCCTGGCTTTAGAGTCAAAGAAAGAAGAAAGGGGGTATGGAATCTCTCTGTGTGACGAAGGTAAGCTGCAGAAGCCAGGCACGTGCCAGGGGTGTCCCTGAATGCAGGCCTAGAGAATTCATTGCATGAAGCTGTAAAGTTGAAGCCTGGATTGCCTTAGAGATCCCAAAATGTTGGAAATGCCAGATCTGTTGGATACCTGATAAGAAATGCTGCTAACAAGGACTAGAACCAGCCCAGGAGGGAGAAGTGATGCAGTCAACGCAACTGAAAGAAGCTGGAAACCTGAAGAGCTCTTTGATATCAGACATGGAGGTGGAGAGTTTGGAGCTTGCCCACCTAGTTTTTGGTATTGCCTTGGTCCTGTATTTTCTTACTGTGCCCCCCTTTCCTCCGTTTATGAATGGTAATAGATATCCTGTGTCATTATGTTGGAAGTACGCTATCTGCTTTTTTTATTTTATAGGGGATTACAGGACCCAGGTTCAATTCCTAGCACCTACATCTAAACTTCAGTTCTGGGAGATTGGATGCCCTCTTCTGACCTCCACAGGCATCAGGCAAGCATGAAGTACACAGAAATACAAAACACCCAAACACATAAATAAAACAAAAATCTAAAAAGAAGTAAAACAAGTACCTTAAGTTGAAAGGGCTTGGTTTTCACAATACTTTAGTATATTCAGAAAGGTGTGCCTCTGAGTGGGCCAGCAGGTTTCTAGCCTGAGAATGCCCATGAGTCACCAGTCACAGGACCAGCCCTGCCAGCACTTGGCCTGCTTACCAGCTGTAGTCCAGGTCATGAGAGAGATGGAAACTCAACAAGTAGAGACCTGACTTGTGGGTATGCATGGGTGGCTGTGCAGGGTACAGAGAAGGTCTTACTACTATGCACTTTAAGTCTTCCATTTAAGACTGAGATGGATTCTGTTTATGAAACTGAATTTCATGTAAATGAAAGGCTGAATCCATAAACACCACCCATAAGCTCCTTTCATTTCCAAAATTCCTGAAACCAGAAAGTGGTTCCCTGAAAGGTTTCCCTTGAGGAAGGGAAGCTTCTTTGCTCAATTAACTTTGATTGTGTGAAAACACAATCTGTGAGTTTGTGGCGAGGTAAGGGCAGAGGGAGTTATAAGACCATGTAAGGTTTAGTGCCAAGGGGATTAGTCTAGGAAGGTGAGGCTTTGGAGATCTACCCCTAGGAAGGAAGGATACTAAGCCAATGAGGGTAACAGATTGTTTTCTTATTCATGATTCACAAGCACTCAGCACACATCTAAGGGGAATTCAAGTTCCAAGGTACAGTGAGAATGAAGACATTTCCAAGACTTCATGAGTAAGTAACATTGGAACAGACACTTGAAGAATTTCTGTGTGTTTATTTAACAGGCTGAGTTAATCAAGAGCAATTGAAGAAAATGATCTACTATTAGCCAAACCCCATGAGGTAAGAAGTAAGCTTTGTGCCCCAGGAACACAAACAGGGAGTATCCTGTTGGCTCTATGCCCTCTCTCCTGAGGTGTAGAAGCAAGACACCAGGTACTTTATCCTATTACCTGCTTTCTCTTGATCCATTCTACAAGAGATACTCAGATCCTTCTTCATAAAGCCAATATCCCACCAGTCTAGAAAGACCAACAATACTAGGCTTTCACAAATCCTACTGGCTGCAGGGAAAGCCTGACACACAAAGCCCTATGCATCCAGAAGCATCTACTGATTCATTTCCAGCGTCATTTCCTTCTTTTCTTTCTCCAAAGTGCTTCTGCTCCCTGCATGCCAACAGCCCATAAATGTGTTGGATGACTTCCATCTGTGCATTTATCCTGACTGCTGTCTGAAATGGCCTGGTCTGTGGAAATCAATTTAAGAATTTGATATTCTGTTCAAATGACACTTCTCTTAGGTATCTTTACCCAAGTAATCAGAAATGAGCAGCCTCTCTAGTGCTGTGGTGCATCCAATCTCTAGTTACCTGTCAGTTCTCAGATGAGATTGTCCCTGAAGACAGGTGACCTGGGTTCACTCTCCAGCTCTGCAGTGTCTTCTTGATCACCCAATTAGCTTCTTTGTTTATAAAAATTGGACACTTACTATCTTAATTAGGGTCTCTATTGATGCAACAAATACAATGACCAAAAAGGAAAGTTGAGGAGGAAAGGGCTTCTTGAGCTTACACTTCAGCATTGTTGTTCATCACTGAATGAAGTCAAGACAGGAATTTCAACAGGGCAGGATCCTGGAGGCAGGAGCTGATGCAGAGGCCATGGAAGGGTACTGCTTACTGGTTTGCTTCCCATGGCCTGCTTAGCCTTTCTTATAGATCCTAGGACAACCAGCACAGGAATGGCTCCGCCTAACATGGGCTAGGCCCTCCCTTATTTATCACTAAGAGCCTTTATTTTATAGAAGTTTGCAAACTTGGTCTTTCTGGTGTCCAACATATTGGAATAACTGGAGAGCCCCGAGCTTAGTCAGAGTTAGGTTTTTACAGTAGCAAAGGAGATCTACCCCTTTATAGTAGTAAAGGGGGTGAGGGGTTCAGGACCCCTGATTGGCTGGCCCCTGATTTGTCTAGGGGGTGTCCTATCCTGTGAGTGTGTGCTGGCATGTGATCCTATCTACAACAGTTGGAATGTTAGGAATTTCCTTGGGATGATCTGTTCTTGGGTGGTGCCTGAGTAATCTCAGTGGTCCTTCCTACACCCAGGTATTGCCTCAGGGTAAACTACTGAGACTCAGGCCTCCATTAAGCTTAACTTGACTGGGTCCCACTGTTTCTATTAAGCTTAGCTTAGCTGAGTCTTTGATGACCTTGACTTTTTTTTTTTTTTTTAAAAAACACTGCTGTTTATTTTACAGAAGCAGAAACACCCTGTGAGGACTTTCTCATTTTTTTTCTCCTAACTGACTGGAGTTATGGGTTTGGAGGAATAACATCACAGAGAAAATGTGCCTTCCTCACTGCACATGGAGAGAACATCTTATGAGTGACACTGGCTGATGTCCAGTGTCTAGAACAGACTGGCTCAGGGTGATGATACTCGATACATCTCAACAGTGTCTTCAGTCTAACATTTAGACTATGGAGCAAGAACATGAACAGTGTGTTGATGCCTACTTAGCATTTGTATTTAGTTTCACTAGGTATTTAGGAATTGAAAGGCTGAGGGTTCAGTTTATTTATGGAGGGCATGCTTAAGGCAAAGGATTCTTGGAGTCAACCTCCATCAATGCACAAAAGAAAAATATTTCAGAAATGGAACTGATAGGTAAGTTAGAGTCTGGTCATATTTTCAGGAAAAGTCAAGCTTATTTGGCCATCACTGGGAACCATTAGCTTATTTTAAGCAATAAATTAAGCAGCTTACTAATTATCAAATGCCCTGCATCCTCAGGTTGGGTTTTCATTGTACTTTATTGGGAAAGGAGAAACGAGAAGAAAGAACTAAGTTGCAGGGCAGAGGTGAGCTCTGAGCCTTGAGCCTGAATGCGGCAAGTTTGGTGATGCCAAACAGAAAGCAAAGAACAAAATTTGTGATAGAAGGTTTGGCTTTGACACAGCAAATAAAACCCTGTGGATGGATCTTGGGAAGGACATAGCAAATGCAAGGCAGACGACAGAGTGGGCTTCAAAATTTTGATTTCAAGTCATTTCTGTCTATGGACACCTTCAGTAAGAGGATGAATGGAGACGGTGTAGCGGGAAGATATGACTTGAGAAAATTCGGTACCTAGAGGAGGGTGAGTAGAAGCCAGTAGAAAATGTAGGAGCATTAGAGAACTACAAAAGAGCAACGTCAAGGGTGGTTGAGCATGATATTAAAGACGGAAAGACAGTCCGTATGATACGAAACGGGTAAGCGCATACAGAAGAAATACAATTATGGAGCGATAAACACCTATTCTACTCTGCTCTAAGAAGCCTGGCCAGGAACAAAGGAAGAAAATGGGGATTGTGCAGTGAACTGAGAAAAAGAAATATTTCATTTCTGCTTCTAATCCTGATATGTACAACACCACTGAGGTAGTTACCCTCTGGAGCCAATAACTTACTTTGTATATTATAACTGGTATTTTATATACTCGGTCTGCAAGATAGATTTCAGCAGACTGCTTCATCGCCAGATCTAAAGTGATCGCAGAGGCAGTGGCTGCGCAGAACGTTTTCACATAAATCTTCCAAAGCTTCCCCATCACATCCTCACGACGAATAAAAACATTTAAAAGAAGTTTCACACACCCGTGACTGCATTACCTCGTCACTGCAAGCCGCCCCACCCTTCAGGACTGAACTTGCTCTGAGCTGGCGTTCGCCCTCACTCCCGCCAGGCCTGGATTGGCATCTTGACTTCCTGTTCTTATCTCGCGCGAGCTCATCTGTGGCGAGATGCATCCTGGGTGACTAGCGCGCGTGCGGATGACGAAGCGGAAGTGCCGGCCGGGGAGGTGGGGCCAGAGCCCAAAGGGGCTCGGGATTGCGGAAGTTCTGTGGGGAGGGTCGGGTGGCTGGCGGAGTCCGTTGTAGATTTACAGCTCCGGAGCCGAGGCTGCTGCTCGGGGTCTCAGAGCCACCGCATCCGGCAGAGTGCGACTGTGACCCGAGCGCGACTCGACGGTACCGCTGCCGGTGGTCCTCGGCCCGCGCTCCTCCGCAGGGACCCGCCTCGGAGCTCCACCATGGCGTCCACGAACACCAACCTCCAGGTACCTCGGCCCTCCTCAGCCTCTCTAAAGAGCCGGGCCGGGGGCTGTGCGGGGAGGGTGGGGGCGGGGAGCGGAGAACGGCAGCGCCGCTGTCCCGGGCCCAGGCAGGCGGGGCCGCGCAGACCCTCCTGCGGAGAAGGGGCGCTTCCCGATCGGGCTGGCCTTGCCGGCTCCCGTGCCTCACCGTCTGTCTGGGGGACTCTTGATTTGCTGGTGACATTGAAAAACAAACCAGCAGCGTTGGGCCGAACTGGGCAGATCTCTCCAATCAGGAAGAGCTCCAGTTTCTCTACCAGGAAGAAAGGAAATGTATAATTATGGCCAAGCACTACTCTGGACAGTTTGGAATAGGGTCGTCTTGGTTTCTCATGCTGATAAACACAAAGCCCTTCCAGGTGTCTGGTGAATGTAAATACGAAAATAGCCCAAGAACCTGAGGTTAGAGCCACCCCCATGGATTCGTTAAGAATATATTTTTATGTTCTCCCAGATTGCATTATTTAAGACCGGGAAGTATTTTAATCTGTATCTTCACTTCCTGCCTTCACCGGAAAAAGAAAAAGTGTTTTGTATGTAAATTTTGGATTCCTAAGATAGCTAATGTTAGGGAAAGATTATTGCTCCTTCGTGGGACGGCGTTCATTGACAGATGTTTGTGGCACTGTCTGCCAACATGGGATTGTCAGTGGGATTGAATGTGCCTTGGGATCCAAGACTTCTAGCCTAGGAGGTTAGTTATTTGTCAGAGAGTAGAACGAAATACCCTCCAATCGATCTTTTGGTAGTTTCTCCAATAGTTACTTGTTGAGTGTTTGGTATAAGTAGCAATGATAATGTAAACGGAGAATAATTGATTGTGAAGAAATTCCACCTGAAGGAGGGCCCTTTAAACAGAGATCAGTACACACAAAGAATGGGTGGAGAGGCTTGACTGGTGCTCCTGTTGGGAAGTTCAGCCTAAAAAATTATTAAAATGTTTGCTATCTTTAGTAAACTCTAACTGCAAACATGGTTATTTCTGAGAATTGAGCTCACTGTTGATGTGTGTGTTTATCTTTTCTACCAAGTTTTTGTAAATCTATGTTTTTGTAACCCTATTCAGAAAATGTTGTTTGGATTTAGTTTGGTTGGTTTGGGGGTTTAGGGGCTTTTTGTTGTTGTTGGTTTTGTCTCTGCTGTTTTGTTTTTCATGAATGTATTTGTTTATTGGTAAAGGCTTTCCTTTGGATATTTAAGATGGTTTCTTTTGTTGTTGTTTTTGATTTGGTTTGGTTTTTCGAGACAGTTTCTCTGTAGCATTGGAGCCTGTTCTGGAACTAGCTCCTATAGACCAGGCTAGCCTTAAACTCACAGAGATCCGCCTGCCTCTGCCTCCCAAGTGCTAGGATTAAAGGCGTGCGCCACCATTGCCTGGCAAAAGATGGTTTCTTTTGTAATACTTAGCATCCTTTTAGCATTTGTACTTTGACTCTATAACCAGGTGTGTTGTGTTTGAATGGACTGTGGAATGCTAGGTGTTCCTCAGCGACCCAGACGCAGCTGACAAATACTACAGTATAGGTGTGGTAAGGAGGAGGATGCTGAGCTGCAGGTGGTGGTGGTGGTGGTGGTTTCAGCCGGCTTTTCTCCACCAGCCTTTTCAGCTTTCTAGCTAGGAAATTCAGATGGAGAACTGCTAAATGAGCAGCCTTCCCAAGGAACAAAGCAAAACATCTTTGTAGACACTTTCAACCTAGTGCAGGATGCAAAGAACTAAAACAAAAAATGGTTCCATACGTACAGTAACAGGATTAGAGGTTGGTGTGGGTCAGCATCCCGGGAGGTGCAGCTCACTCTCACGTTTCACGGAGAGGTGGTGTGATCTCAGACAGAGTGAACTAGCTCCAGTCGTCTCAGTGTTGGATGTGATCTCATTGAATCCTCAGGACAGCTCTTCAAGCTGAATGCTACTCCAGTTTCATGGGATTAGAAACTTGAACTTCTCGATCCTGTGGTGTGCTGAAAGACGTGCAGCTAATTAGTGTCGAGGTTAGTTTTGAATCCAGGTCTGTGTGCTTACAAGCATGCGGGGTTTTTTTTCACTGCAAGATTCTGGTTCTTTGAAGAAGAATGGTGAATGCTTTCCAGGTAGAAAAAAAATGCAGGAACATAATTTTTTAAAAAAATAAAACAAAACAAAAAACCTTGTAGAGAGATGGAGAAAACTCCAAGAACATGAAGTAAAATTCAAAGATGACCCAGTCCTAAATATTTGTTGTCCATATAAAACTGTTAAGATTTGGGGAATTGTGTGCGTGCGCGTGTGTGCAGAAAGCAACTGACAGAACACAGTGTAATCATTAGAAACATATACAGGCAGTCATAGGAATCTAGACAAGTTGGTTTTGGGGAATGTGTTGCACCAGGAGGGCCATACTAGCACTGAAGCCTTGAGAAGCTGGAGTTTTACAGGGGAACAATGGCATAGGGTCCTTTGTATGTATGTCTTGTGCCTTGGTTTGGGTTATACCAGCATGACAGGAACTCAGTGTGCAAGGAAGGAGCCAGAATTCCTAACAGTCACCAGGAGTTTGTGCTGCATCTTATGTTGGGTCCTCATTCTGCTGTACATGGATGAACAGTGGAGAGGCATTTTCATGCTTTTGTTTCAGAATCAAATTTGATCTGCATACAGTAACGTCTGACTGGTAGCCAGTATGAATGAAAGGAGACCAGTTACAAGACGGGTCTGTGTGGTGGAAGGTGGTGACTGGCCAAATTAGGGAGGTCCCTATTTTAAATATCCAAGAAAGGCTGGTGCAGAGAAAATTTTAAGAAAGAAAATAGTTCAGTCTGTGTCTTAAATTAAAAAGTGAGAGAGGAGGAATTGGAGTCTGGGTTTTCTACAAACATTCTGGGCTGACTATTAGAATGGATATAAGTTGGTTCTGAACATAAAGACAAGCATGCATGGAGAGAAGAAAAAGAAATTGAGTTCTGAACTAATTTTGAAATGTATGTTGAGACAGCCAGATGGAAATGCCAAGTGAGCATTTCGTATATATGTGCTTGGGGACTGTATCAGCAATAAGGATATGGAAGTTCGGCATAAAGTTGGTGGACACAGAGAGTTCCATCTTGGAGAATTTACAGAATGAGAAGAATATAGCGTGTATTCTATAGCGTATCAGAGACACTGGAAAATAATCATAGCACAGTAAGTATCTGGTGGTGTAATAAAGACCAAGAAAGGAGATACTGTTCAGTATTTGTTACTAGTGCTGTGTCCTATAGAGAGGAAGTTGGATGAGCAAGTGCTTTCACGGTCAAAAGACAGCATTTCAGGAATAGGAGCTAAAGAAACTCAAATGAACTTGGGGCGTTCTCTGGGACTTTGTTGTCGAGGTGCTAAGGTGGCAGCTAGAGAGAAGTCTAGGATCCCAAGAAAGCTGGTGTGTTATAATGGAATATTGTATCTATTGATCTGAGACAGAACTTAAACATGTTTCTCTTCAGGGGAGGCCCCAACCAAAAAGGGAAGGGCTGGGCAGAACAGACCAGTGGTGTGTCACTAATGGAGTGAGTAAACATCAAAGGGTATGCTGGAAACGGACTCTTGACGATCGAGGAAAGTCAGCCTTTGCAGATGGGGTTGGAACGTCTTTGTCCGGATGCTATTTTCTAGGATGGATATTCCATGATCTGCTCAGAGAAAGCCAATCTCGGATCTTCCGGACCTTTGTACTTTATATTGATGGCTAGGACCTGACTGACCCTGGAGCAGTGAAGTCACTCGGTCATATGCCAGCATGAAAAAGTGAAGGCATAACCCCTGACTTGTGAAGCTTTTCATCTAGTGAGGGAGACAGAGAGCAAAGAGACAAATAATTATAGCAACCTGGAACATTTTATTCGTAGGAATGATGTGGACATCGTGATCAAAATGGAATAAATTTGGAAATCAACTTCATAAAGATTGTCAGCCCTGAGTCCTTAAAAACATTCCATGTGGAGAGGACATAAATAGAACTGAGGCTCTATTCTCAGACCAAATTCTGAGGGAGGGATGTCAGTCGCAGATGTCAGGGTACAAATCCTGAAGCCGAGCTGCTTGTGTGCTCTTGGAAATACCCAGAGAAGAGGGATTGTTGTTAGGGATGGCAGGAATAACCGAAGAGCAGACATGCCTGGAGTTTCCCCCTCATTGAGCAACTTAACAGTGCGCCCATCATTTACCAGTGCCATTCTAGGCTCCAACCAAGGCTCTCGGCAGAGAAGTATGTCTTTATGGGATTATTGAGGAGGTTGCCTGCGAGTGCAAACAACAGCCACTGTTGTTTGCCACTTCTCCCATAGTGATGGGAGAAGAGCGGGAAGAGAGCTGACAGAGGAATAGAACCCAGCCTGAGGTTAGAAGATTCAGGGAGCCTTTTCTGAGGGGTGGCCTTCTGAAGTAGGACTAGAATGTTCCAGTACAGAGCTAGGGACTGTGGCATGTAAGGCCATATAGACCATGCTCCAGCATTTATATTCTGCTGCTTGCAGCACGGAGCCATCAAAGTGTGGCAAGAGTGGAAGCAGGCTGACTGCCACACCTGTGTGTTGGGGTGACATGGGGGAAATGCAAAGAACAGCTCCCTCTTCAGAGACATGCAGGACAGTTTCATGTGCAGGATGCCACCAAAACGCAGGGCCAAATGGGGCATTCATATCACCGATCAGACTTTAAAGGATTCAACGTGCAAGACTGTTTTAGACTGTGTATTCCATACACTGTTTGACACCAGATACCTAAATAAGAGTTGTGCTGTAAGCTAGGCATGGCGGAATGTATGTGTAACCCCAGCAACTCTGGAGTATAAGACTGGAGGATTGCTTGAGTGCATAAGTTTAAGACCAGCTTGAGCAGCATAGCAAAATCTTGTCTTAAAAAAAGTGAGATAAGGTTTTAGCATGTCATACTGGGCTTGTAGCAACCTACAATTGCCCACTGTGGGCTAAGTGACGGAAATGAGTGACTAAAGAAACATAGCATTTCTCGATAATCTGCAGAAAATTTTGTCAGAATAAGGACAATATTTATTTCTGCCGTGAAGCCCTTAGAGTATGTGGTTGTGTGCACTGTTGTCCTAACACTGACGAAGCTTTGTAATTTAGGGGCTGGAGAAACATCTGGGGGAGGGGGGCATTAAAGCACTCGCTGCTCTTCTAGAGGACCAGCATTCAGTTCCCAGAACCTCCATCCATAGCTCACAACCTGGTAACCATGTCTATGACTTTTACATTTATATCCTGCCTAGTTAAAACATGGGAAGACTTGCCCTCACATTCTCACCGTTTGACCTGTGAAGCATAAAACTAGTTCCTTTTTGTCAGTTCCAAAACATTGTAAGAGAAATGTAGCCCCACCTGCGTCTCTACGTCAGCACATGCTTCCAGGTCTAATGGTATTCCTGTATGTGAGTGGCTGTGGAGTTTTGAGTGATTTTCGTATTATTTATGTTCTTATGTTTAGTGTAGCCTAAGAGTATTATTCATATATTCCCATTCCCCATTTGTTCTTATTTCTGTTAGATACAGTTTACTACCTAATTTAACCAAATTAGAATATTTTACTTTGATTTTTTATTATGGCTTTTGTGTGTGTGTGCGCCACACAAACATGTACCTTAGGAAAGGTCAGAGGACGACTTTGATGAATTCACTCTCATTTTCTATCGTATGGTTCCCAGGAATCAAACTCAAGTCATCAGTGTTGGTGGTAGGCACCTTACCCACTATGCCAGCTCATCAGCCCCATGCCTACCCCCCCACCCATTGGAGTGTTTTAATAATTCATGGTTCTTTATTTTCATATGTCTGCAAATGTTTTACATTAGAATTTATTTTATGTGTATGGGAGTATTGCCTGTATTGTGTCTGTGCTTCCTTTGTGTTATTAATGCCTATGAAGACTAGAAGAGGGCATTGGATTTCCTGAAAATGAAGTTACAGATGGTTGTGAGCTATGGATGGAGGTTCTGGGAACTGAATGCTGGTCCTCTAGAAGAGCAGCGAGTGCTTTAATGCCCCCCTTCCCCAGATGTTTCTCCAGCCCCTAAATTACAAAGCTTCGTCAGTGTTATTTTGACCTAATGTGCCGTTGTAAGAAGTGTGAAGTATTCAGTGAGCCCTTCCCCTAGTTGCATGTTGTAAACTAGTACAGTCAGGTTATTGATGTTGACACATTGAGTAGCTCTTACTCATTCCCCACTTTGACATGTGCTTTTGTGTGCTTCCGCTTCTGTCAGGACAGTTTTAGGCTCTAAACTGATGATGTGGCCAGCATATAGGCAGGCGTCGCACTTTAGAGCAGCTCTGTAGGGACCCTCATGCTGCTCTCATGTCCACTCTCATTTTCTCCTTCACTTGCACTCCAGTTCCCTGGCAGAATTCATTCCTGCTCATCTCAGATTTTGACATTTTGAGAGCATTAGATAAATGGAGTCATTAATACGGAACCAGGAGCATTGGCTTTTTGGGTTTTTTTTTTGTTTGTTTGTTTGTTTGTTTTTTGAGACAGGGTTTCTCTGTTTTGTTTTGGAGCCTGTCCCGGAACTAGTTCTCATAGGCCAGGCTGGCTTCGAACTCACAGACATCCTCCTGTCTCTGCCTCTCGAGGTCTGGGATTTAAAAAGTGTGTCACCACTGCCCTGCAGTATTGGCTTTTTGCAGTAAACATAATAGCCTCAAGATTCATTCAAATCTTATATAGCAATAGTTCATCGCTTCTTATTGCTGCCTAGTGTTCCATAGTGTTTTTATATAACTGTTTAGCCATGATACCATTGAAGGCTATCTGGAACATTCACTCATATACATGCTTTTTTGTGAACACAAATCTTCCTTTCTTTGGGCGATTGTCTAAGAGTGTAGTTGCTTGTTTATATATTAGCTAAATACTTTGTTCTGTAAATAAAAGCCAGTTTTTCAGAATTTCTAAACCATTATAGGTGCTCAGCATCCCTTCCAGCGTTGATGTTGTGTTTGTTTTTACTTTTAGCCATTGTGATAGATGTTTGGTCTTTTTCATTGTGGTTTTAATTTGCACTGTTTAAATGTCTAATGATGGGATGCCATCTATAGTCTCATTGGTGAAATTATGTTTCCCCATTAACTAATTGTATTATTTTTTAAGCTCATGCTACACTGTTTTGGGACAGCTTACAAGAATAGTTTGTTCTCTTCTACTGTGTGGGTCTCTCAAATCAACCAAGCTGGGTAGCAGGACCCCTTATTTGCTGAGCCATCTCACTGGCCCATTAAGATTCTTTTTGAACTGTTATGTCTTCAGGATCCCTTTGTGCATTCTACTAGATGTTTCTTTGTCAGATGTTTCACAGTATTTCATCCAGTCTGTACTGTCTTTTCATCATTTAGTAGAATCTTTTAGAGAACAAATGTTGTTAAATTGATACATTTGATGTTAACATCTTATTTTATACACTGCTTTTGATGTTAAATATAAAAATTTTTCTTGTTTTTTTTTCCAATAAGTTTTATGTTTAAGTCTCTGCTCATTTTGAGTTAGCTTTTCGAGACAAATGGGATTTAAGTTAATATTCCTCTTTGTTCCCGCATAGCTGTCCACTTGCTACAATGCCATTTTAAAAGCCTGCTTTCCTGTTGTTGACTTGGTTCTGCATGGCTTTAAATATTCCTTGGCTGTGTTTGTATGGCTCTATGTCTGAGAAGGTCTTCCTTTTTAAATCTTTATGGTAGTTCCCATCATAGATGTGAAGAGGTAGAAAATGAATCTTTGTCAAATCATCAGAAAATGCCCATCAGAAATACTTTTCATGTCATTGTTTTAATGCTCTTTTAATATTTTTTGATGTGACACTATTTTGGTTTATTTTTCATGGCTTTCATGGCAGGGTTTCTCTGTGTAGCCCTGGCTGTCCTAGCGTGCTCTGTGGACAAAGCTGGCGTTGAACTCAGAGATCTGCCTGCCTCTATCTCCTTAGTGCTAGGATTAAAGGCGTGCACTGCCACTGCCCAGCGCTAGTCGTTTTTTGTTTTTGTTGTTGTTGGTTTTTTTTTTTTTTGGTTTTAAATGTTTTTGCTCAGTATAGTTTTGGAAACTTTTCAGAGTCTTGATATCTCATTGTTCCATGAGGGTTTTATCTCTGTGCATTATGTTTGTGCTTTAGGAAGCAGCACTAGGTGTTTTCAAATTCTTTAAATTTATTTTATGTGTATGGGTGTTCTGTCTACATGTGTATCTGTGTACTTGTGTGTGCCTGGTGTCCACAGAGACCAGAAGAGATCGGATTCTCTAAATGGGAGTTACAGACATTTGTGATCGGACATGTGGGTGCTAAGAATTGAACCCTGGTCACCTAGAAGACTAGCCAGAGCCCTTAACCTCTGAGCCATGTCTCCAGTCCAGCAGTTACTTAATTTTGAGAATTTCCCTAACCACTCCTTTTTAATTAAATCTCTCTGCCTCCCCCATTATGTGTGTTTGGAGGGGGGCATTGTTTGCTTCAAACTTAAGATTTATGCTTTCATATTAAGTTTATTATTTTGCCTCCCTCAAACAGAAAGCAATAGATCTTGCAAGCAAAGCAGCCCAGGAAGACAAGGCTGGGAACTATGAGGAAGCTCTTCAGCTCTACCAGCATGCTGTTCAGTATTTTCTCCATGTCGTTAAGTGTAAGGCTGCTTTATTTTATTTAAACCTGTGCACTAAAAGGGAAAAAATTGTTACATGTATCAAATCCAAATCCAAAGCCAAGAGAATTTAAAGATCTAAGGCCACCAAATAAAAATAAAGTCCCCTTTCTCCTGACTCAAGTCCTGCTCACACATGTGACAGTTGTTATAGTTGTTACTTGATACAACCAGTATCTTTTTGTGTATTCAGTGGAGAAACCCTTGTTTTATAGATAACCTATACAGATTACATGATTTGAGCTTAATCATTGCCTGAGCATATGCTGGAAATGATTTTGTTGTAAAAATAAATTGGGAGATACTAAGTGTATCTTACAGATGCTCTGTTCTGGGAACTGGAGATTCAGCACTGAGAGACACGTGCATGAAAACCTCTAAGGTCCATCACTAATCCTACACTCAGTGTGTTTTAATTTGTACTTTCCCATTTAAGTGGAGGGGAGGAGTTATGCTAAAGAAAAACTGAAAATGAAATAGAACATATAAGAGACATGAGGATAATACTATGCATTGTCTATATTGTTCCACATTTCAAAATAGCCTGATAGAGGCCATTATGTAATACAGTTACCATGTTGTTGGTCCACATACTGTTTGTGATTTCTGTTATTTAGTATACTTTGAAATAAAGCAGACAAAGATGTTAATGAGGTTATTACTGCTTTACTTCTGGTTATCTTTTATATCTTAAAATTCTTATTCACTTGTATTAATTTTATTTATCAACATATGTGTGCAGTGAACAGAGCGCAAACCAGCTTCTGGTTTTCTAACTCCACCTTCCAGCCTTTAGTAATCTCCATGCAGAGTTGTCATCTCTCTTGTGATTGGTTCTGTGGAAGACAGACAGCTTTCAACTGTCTGAAAACTGTAAGGGAAGAATTTGAAATGTATAGACTGTTAAATACTTTGCTACTATAGAACATTAACTTATAATATCTACCGTATTGCTCTGAGGTTTTTTGTTTGTTTTTAAATCCACACTGTTGGCCTCCAGCCCTGAAGAGGAAGGAACAGAAAGGGGTTGATAATCATTGGATACAATGAGTAAGAGATGGAGTTCCTAGTTAAAAGAGTATCTCTAGGTTTGAATCTTTCTCCATTGAGTACTATTATTAGCCGCTTTTCTGATGTCCTGATAGAATACCCTGGCGGAAAACAAGTTAGGAAGAGAGACTTCATTCTGCTTGACGTACAGTTCCAGAGGGAATCCCTCTTGTCGTCACAGGAAAGGCGTGGCAGCAGGGGTGTGGCCAGTCTGGGAGTCAGGAAGCTGACTGATCACAGACCATCAACACAGAGGAAACTAGACAACAGAAAGCAGAGCTAGATCCTAAAACCTTAAGTCCACCCCGGTGCTCTACCTCCAAAATGTTCCATAACCTTCCTAGGCAGCACCAGCCACTGGGGTCCAAGTGTTTGGATACCTGAGTCTGTGGGGAACCACAACAAATGCTAATGAAATAGTTTCTCATTCCCTTCGCAGATGAAGCACAAGGCGATAAAGCCAAGCAGAGTATCAGGGCCAAGTGTACCGAATATCTTGATAGAGCAGAAAAATTGAAGGAATATCTGAAGAAAAAAGAGAAGAAACCACAGAAGCCTGTGAAAGAGGAACAGTCAGGTCCAGTTGATGAGAAGGGGTATGTATTCTCAAGTGTTAGGTTCTATATCTCATAACCTTTCATTGGTGTCGTGGGTTTCTTTGACTAAGCCAGGTATTTTTTAACCATGAGTCACAGTCCAAAGGGAGCTTGTTGCCTATTTCAGTCATTAAGTTTTATTGAGACACAGCCTTGCACATCTGTTTATATACCGTCATCTTGGGCAGCTCTTGTACTGTGACAGCAGAGTTGAGTGGTTACAGTAGGGATTGTATGGCCACAAAACCTGAAGTATTACATCAAGCCTTTCAAAGACCAAAGTTTGCCAGTGTGTGCTTACTGTTTTTTATACCTCCCTGACAGTTTTTGAGTAACTGAGAAAATACTGTGGGCATGACACTAATACACCCCTGTCAGTTCAAGTGATCTATGAATTAAGTCTGACCCTCTGGACAAAATGAACACAAATTCCAATAATGTCATTAATTTTTATTTATACAAAGTTTTAAAATGTGGATTTGCACTGTCATTGTGAAGAAGGCAACAGCACAATTTTTAAAAACTGAGCTCCAGTTTTTCAATGTCTTCCTAGATGCATAAGGTGTCACAAATAGAAAGAGCATTTACTGCACTTTAGTTCATGCATTCCCAGCTCTCCTCAGCAGGGAGTGTATACTCCAGCTTGATTTGTTTCCAGTGGTTCTATGAGTGAGTGTCAATGTGGTTCCAGATGACATACTAGAAAAATGACATTCTGGGTTGATGTGGCCAACTGGATTTGAAGCACTGAGAATCTGGTGAACTCTGGAGCCTATGATGCCCACAGTTTAAGTTCTGCAGGGTACAGGTTTCTTGGATGATGCCCAAGGTCATGAGGGAATGAGGGATGTAGCCCAATAGGCAGTGCTCCCCTTCCATGTTTACTCATGATGAAATTTTGCCTCTTGACTAGGCATTGCCAAATTTAAGGACAGGAGAAGAATAAAATTTACAGTTGACTGCCTTAACCTTTGTGGCAGAGTTTGAAGAATATGATAAGCTCAGAGTATTATGTTCCTTGTTGAGACATGGTTAAGAAACAGTTTCTGTGGCACACCAAGAGCAGTTTATGCCCTGAAATAGTACAGTAGTTCCCAACATGAAGTGCACAATTCATCATGAGCATATAGCTCACAGATTTCTGCCAGCCAGGGACTTTGATTGTCCCTGTCTACTGGGACACATGCTGTGTTAGTGAGGACCTGTAACCACCTGCTCTGCAATGGCTGCCTGACAAGGGAGAGTCAGTCTTTCTTCCCTGCTAAATAACAGTCTTGATTACAAGTAGCAGGAGTCACTTTGGCTGGTTATATTTTATAAGGGATTACCTTACAGAATTTTGAGGACAGAAAATAAACCTTGAGTTCCCATCATTAAGAAAACTACCCAGGATACCATATGGGGACATAGAATGAATTCATCCCTGTGGGATTTTATGTTCAAGTAGAGATCTTATTGCTGTCACCTCCTCCACCAAATATTCCTAGGGCTCAGAAATACACAGCAAGACCTCTGCCTCAGTTTCCACAGGGCAAACCAGTGGTCTTCCCTGAAGATATGTTCTTCATGTAAGCAGCCCTCACCTTGGCGGATTTCAAGTCTGATGAGAATAAAGGTTGTCTGCAAGGAAACCTATGAAACACAGTTGGTTTTCAGTGGTTTTTACAGCACGAGAATCTTGATTAGGAGACTGGGCTGTCAGACTCAGCTCATGGTGTTACTTCATCCTTAACCCCGCCATTCTACAGATAACGAGAATCTTGAATAGGAGACTGGGCTGTCAGACTCAGCTCATGGAGTTACTTCATCCGTAACCCCGCCATTCTACAGATTTCCCACCCTGCACAAGTCCTGTCAGGTTTTGTAAATCCTCTTTGTATCTCTGTCTTTTTTGTTTGTTGATTGTTTTGTTTTGAGACAGGGTTTCTCTGTAGCTTTGGAGCCTGTCCTGGAACTAGCTCTGTAGACCAGGCTGGCCTCGAACTCACAGAGATCCAACTTTTCTTCTCTGTGTCACTTTATCACTCAACACTGTATCAGGAACATTTTTCCATTAATTGGTTTTACAATATTGCTTTCAGAGGCTGTAACGTATTCTGTCATAAGGCTCATCTCTATAACTGAACATAGATTCTTTTTTCTCAGTGTACTGTAGATGTAACTGCCCTTGTAGTGAAAATTTAAAATTATCTCTTCAATATAAATCCCTAGATGTGAAATAGTGTTGTTCTAGTTTGTTTCTCTGTTGCTGTGCCAAATACCACGAGCTAAAGCAATATGGGGAGAAAGGGTTTAATGTAGGTAAAGGGTATAGTCTGCCACCAAGGGAAGCAGGAGCTTGAAACAGAGACTAGTGGAGGGATGCTGATGACTGATGACTGATGGGGGATGTTGTCCCTTGCTTGCTTAGCCATTTTTCTTGTATAGCCCAAGCTCACCCGCCCACAGAGGCACTGCCTATAGTGGGCTGGGCCCTCCTACATCAATTAGTAGTAATCAAGGTAGCGCCATACACATGTGCCCACAGTCCATATGATAGAGTGGAGGCAATTCCTCAGTGAGATTCCTTCCTGGGTAGGCTAGGTTTGTGTCAAGTTGGCAAAAGCTAACCAGCACGAGTGGGTTGGCCTTTTTTCTTGGCATTCAGAAAATACTCACCAGCAAGCTTTATCTGTTGGGGGACCTAAGTTAAGGGTTATAGTGTAGATAATTGTGTGTTGTACCTTTTCTTCCTAGCAACTAGTCTTGTTATATTTGGTTCCGACATTTTTTTCTATAGTTGCATATAACTTTCCAAACCCTTCATTGAATAGTGTGGGCATACAACCTGCAGGTATATACATGCATGGGTGTGTGTTATGAGGATGGAGGTGTATCTGACTTCATCCTTGTTTTGTCCATTTCCAGTGCATAGTTCCCTATTGATTATCTGCCTGCTTCCTGTTTTCTTAAAAGCATCATTTGAAAGGCTTAAAGTAATGTTTAATGTCAATGACTTTTCTTGCTTAAACCCTCCAGGTTATCTTTCCTTCACTATTGCATTGTTTATTGCAGTGAGTGATCTTGTGCATGTATTCATTTCTTTTCATCAGGAATGAAAGTGATGGAGAAGCAGAGTCTGATGATCCTGAGAAAAAGAAACTACAGAATCAACTTCAAGGTTACTCTGGATTTCATTCTTAAATTTACTTATTGCCTGGCGATGGTGGCGCACACCTTTAATTCCAGCACTTGGGAGGCAGAGGCAGGCGGATCTCTGAGAGTTCGAGACCAGCCTGGCCTACAAGAGCTAGTTCCAGGACAGGCTCCAAAGCCACAGAGAAACCCTGTCTCGAAAAACCAAAAAAAAAAAAAAAAAAAAAAAAAGACTCATGGATTGTCTGCTTGAATTGCTTAGTTTCCCTTTATTTCATTGAGTTTCAAAAAATGGCTTTGGTTGCTCATGGATCACATACTGGCTTGGTTCCAGGCTGGGGTTTACTCTCAAGTCTTTCTAATCTTGTGTTGTTTTTAACGGAGTTTTAAAAAAATGGTTTGTTTATCTACCTTTAAAAGTTGCTTTTTCATTCGTTTTCCCTTGTAAAGTAAGTAGCAATGACACTGTTAATACACCGCAAGGCCCAAGGGCCTGAATGATTAGGAACTACACTGATTCTGCTGCCATGACTGCACTTGATGTGTGCTCCATTTTCTCCCTGTTCTTCTCTTCCACTTTCCAGTGTTGACAGATGTGTTTATCTGTTTCACACAGCAAGGCTCTTTGATTCTGCTGTCCTGGAGTACAGTGGCATAATGGCGTGTCTGCTATTATAGATCTCAGTTCCACTCTGAGGTCTGCCACTTCAAAAGCATTCGGATTTTGGGCAATTTTCCCAATCTCTCAGAATCTGAGTCCCCATCTTGAAAGTGGTCATTTCTTTCAGGGAAAGGAAAGCAAGATAATGCAAAAAGATCTTAATAAATTCTAGAGGTTTGATTAATGGTAACTCAGCATATCTAAAATGGCATCTACTTAATTGTTGGTTTCTTTAACTGCTGTTAGCTAATGGCTTTTCAAATAAAAGGCTCAGTCATTAGTAGTATGTATTTGTACCTTTGAGTCTTACCTAACAAAATATTTAACAAAAAGATTCCCATTTTGTTGGCTCGGTTTGGTTCCTGGATAGTGAAAGTGTGTGTGTGTGTGTGTGTGTGTGTGTGTGTGTG